GCACCCATGTCGTGCAATGCCGTGGAGGTCAGAAGAGAGCTTTGGATTCCCCTGGAACTGGAATTAAGGACGGTTGGTAGCCGCCATGTGGGTGCTGGGAATCGAACCCAGGTCCTCTGCAAGAGCAGTCAGTGCTCTTAACCACTGAGCCATCTCTCCAGCTTGATTGTTACTATTTTTAAGAAGTAGGGGTCTTGGGCTGGGGCTGTAGCTCAGTGGTAGAGGACTTGCCTAACATGGATGAGGCCCTGGGTTCAATCCTGAGCACTGCAAAAATAAAGAATGAAAAGAAGACAGAGGCAAGGTCTTCCCTTAAGGCTGAAGCTGGCCCCCCTCAAACTCTGGAGCTCAAGCAGTCCTCCTGCTTTATCTGGAACAGCAGGTGCCCAGCTTTGTTCAGGATGCATATTACACAATCTCTGTTTGCTTTTTTTCTTTTTTCCATCCTTCTTTCCATCCTTTCTGTCCTTACAATTTAAAAAATTTATTTAAAAAATTTTATTTTATGTGTATGAGTGTTTTGCCGGCAGGTAAGTGTACCATGTGCACACAGTGCACGCAGAAGTCAGAAGAGGGCATTAGATCCATCCCTCTCCCAACTCCCTGGAACTGGAGTTAGTAACAGCTGTTAACAACAATGTGGGTGCTGGGAACTGAACTCAAGAGCAGCCAGTGCTCTTAACTGCTGAGCCATCTCTCCAGCTTTTCTCCCTTCCCTTCTTCCTTCTTTCCTTTCTCTCCCTTTATTTTTTTCCTTTCCCCTTCCTCCCTTTCTTTCTTCTTCCCTTCCTCCCTCCTCCTTTCCTTCCTTCTTTTTTTTTCTTAGCCCAGGCTGGCCTTGGACTCCTCCTGCCTCAACTTCCCAAGTTTTGGCATTACAGGGATGTGCCACTACACACAGTTTATTCCTTTTAAAAACATTAGTTGAACACAATATCACTATTAAGTAACTATTAATTTACTTTGTCCTTGTTTATTTTTAAGGTAGAAAAGAAAATCAAATGTTGAACAATTATGATGGGTTCTTCAAAAGAATAGACAAACACCACAGATTTGGGGCCAAATCTACTCTGAATCCCAAAATATAGTTTCTTCAACCCTAACTGGACAGGGATATATGTTAATAGTTTTTCTCACAGAAAAGGAACATTTGACAATTTTTAAAAATGTTTTTAAACCCTTTTGGGGTAAATTTTCTTTCCTAAATACGTATATCTGTTTTGTTTCAATAATTTATAATTAGGTACAAATAATGAGAACTTTATAAATACTTCATGTTTCAAATGAGAAGCTGAAGACAAGTAGGATGAGGAGGGAAGAAATGAAAACTTAAATAAAACTTAAATGGCATGTTTCTTTTGACTGGAGATCGAGAGAAGGAAAACCACACAACCTTAGATTGTGCAATTCATAAAAACATTGATAAGACTGACAACTTGAACTTGCCCTTGAACTTACAAGGGAACAGCTGCCTATGAAACAGAAAAGAAAGAACATATTTCAGCATCATGCGCAGTTGTATTTAGACCTAAGGAAAGGCTACCCACATGAATGTTTGGCAGTTCTCCGTGGAGCCTTTAATGCATCTACATTTCAACTTTCTGTATTCTCAACATACTGTCTACCGCTCAAACACACTCAGCATCTCCAGTAGCATTCATGAACTCCTGATGTTCCAGGGGAGTGTCTCTGCTTCACAAAGTCCCTGCTTGCCAGGGGTTAACCACATCCAGATGCTGTGGAAGAAGTCAGCTGGGCAGCAGGACTGCTGCTGTTGGTAAGAGCCCTCTTGTTGGACTGAAGACAGGAGCTGTGAGAAACCCAAAAACAAAAATGCTCAGCAAAGATAGCTCTACTGGTCAAGGACTAGCAAGAGAATTCAGAGTTCCTCTCTGCCCTCCATGCTGAATTCCACAGCTGGGAAAAATGGCCATTTCCCCCAGACCTCACTTTAAGAAAATTTCATTTGTTATCTGTTCCTCCAGTGAGAACAAATCACTAGTGAATTAATGAATGCAGTGATGCCAGCAGATTTGGAAACCACCCTGCTGACAGATAAGCTGCGTTGTACCTGTCACTGCCAGGAGAAAATGGACAACATGGCTTTACATCTAACTTTAAGTAGAAATTAAGAAATGATAGTTCCTGCCTACCACATCTGCCCCACCGACCCATCCTACCTAAAAACCCAGAGCATTGTGGAATTTATTTTTAATTTTAGGAAAATATTTTAGTTTCCCCCCAAAAGCTTATTCTTTTCAGATTGACCCAAGAAATGCTGTCAGTGCGTCTGATAAACAGGAAAACCAGCTCTCTTTTCGTTTTGTTTTAAATCAATACCCGAAATAAGGACCAGAAGCAAATTTCTCCAGTGCGTCAGCAAGCAGGATGCTCGACCCTTCAGCTCCATCCTTCCCCTCGTAGCCCCAGCAGCTTCCAGGCCACAACTCCAGGTCACTAGAGTAGATAGATAATGTAGGACAGAACCACCAGGCCTATGATGGCAAAGAACATCAAGATGAAAATATCGAGCATGGTTCACTCCCAGGCAGGCGTCCCCTGGATTCTGGGTAAATGGGAGCGGCGAGCGGGGAGGTCGATCCCTGCAGAGAAATGGCTCCTATCCTGCCCCACTTCCTGTCCCCTCCTCCCCCGGCCCTCCCAGGGGCCTGAGACTAAGGGATGCTGCAGCTCCATCCGCAGCTCACGCCCCACCCCCATCACCACAGTCAACCAATCACAAAACCCCGCAGTGAGTAACCAGGGAACCGCTACTTTTAGACCAGGCAGAACCCAAGAGGCTCAATTTCTTCCCAGGAAGCCAGTGCCAGCCCTCTGTATGGAAATGCTATCTGTATTTAGATACAATTTCTACACCGAGTGGGCAGCCAGGGGAGAAGAGGAGCATTGAATCTCTACCCAGACCTGCTAGGAATGGATTCTCCCGACTGCCTGCCATAGTCCTTAATACATCTTTGGCAGTTTATCACAGAATAATGGCTTGCTAGTTGGATGGGCAAGTTCAGAGAACAGGGACAAAGGTCTCATGTAGTGGCATCCCTGGGGATCAACTAGCATTTATGTGATCTGTACTTCGTGCCAGGTACTGCACACGTGGTGTACTTCCAACCTGCCTGGAAGTCATAGCCTGGGGTTCAGGTGGTCAGGTGCTTGCCTGATGCTCTTAAGCTTGTCAAAGCCAGGGTGGGACCCACAGCTAGGTGATCACGCTTCTTGCTGAACCCACCCCAGACTGGCTTGCTTTGTTGTTCTAGGTGTTCTGACTGCAATGCTCTTTTGTGTCACTGTAGGGTATCTTCTCCCTTGTCTTTTCATTTCTGTGCCTTCCTCACACTTTTTTGTGTCTTGAGAGTTCATCAGTTTCAACCTCAGAGACGATGGTGAGAAACCCTCATACCCACGCCCACACCTGGGTAGTGTTTAGAAAAGCTGATTCAAGTGGTTTTTTTTTTTTTTTTTTTTTTGGTCTTTTTGAGACAGGGTCTTCCTGTAGCCCCAGCTGTCCTGGAACTCACTATGTAGACCAGGCTGGCCTTGAACTCACAGAGATTAAAGGTGTGTGCCACCATGTCCGGCTTTTTTTTTTTTTTTTTTTTTTATTGTATATGTATTGCCTGCATGTATGTAAGTACACCCGTGGGGTACAATGCCAGCAGAGGTCAGAAGAGGACATCAGATCCCCTGGAACTGGAGTTATAGCTGGTGGTTAGTGGCCATGTGGGTGCTGAGAATTGAATCTTAGTCCTCTGCAAGAGCAGCAAATGCTCTTAAACCTCTAAGCCATTGTTCTAGCCCATTTTTGTTGTATGGTTTTGCGTGGGGTTTTTGTTTGTTTGAAGACAGGAACTTTTTTTTTGTTAACTTTTACAAAAACTTTATTGAGAATTTCATACATGCATATAAGGTGTTTTGATCAAATCCATGTCCTCTCCCTCCCCTCCAACATACCCCCCTCTGAAGAGGTAACCCTAAAATCTTTTAAGGATTAGATACAAGCTCTCAAATACTTTTGACGTTTTTGGCTTTTGGAGCAGAATGTGCTGCTAACAGGCCCAAGGACATTTTGACTTTTAGCCCAGAAGGACAGGGTCTTTTTGAGACAGGGTCTCTCTGTAGCCCCAGCTGGCCTGGAACTCATTATGTTGACCAAACTGGCCTTGAATTCACAGAGATCTGCCTGCTTCTGCCTCCCAACTGCTGGGGTTAAAGGTATGCACCACCATGTCCAGCTTGTTTTGTTGTTTTGAGACAGGGTCTTCCTATGTATCTTTGGCTGACCTGGAACTATGTAGACCAGACTAACCTTGAATTCAGAGATCTACTTGCCTCTCTCTCCCAAGAACTGAGATTAAAGGCGTGTGCCACCATGCCCAGCTTTTTTTTTGCTTTTCTGAGGTAGGATCTCATGTAGCCCAGGTTGGCCTTGAACTCCTGATTCCTCTGACTCTATTTCCTAACTACTTGGATTACAGGTATGCACCACCTGGCTTTCAAGTCGTTCCTTCCAAGGGAAAAATGTCTTTGTAAGATTCAGTAGTATCAGGGCAGGCAAGATGGCTCAGGGGTAAAGGTGCTTGCTACAAGGCTGATGACCTGAGTTCAGTTTCTAGGACCCACATGGTGGAAGGACAAAACTGACTCCTCCAAGTTGTCCTCTGACTTCCACATGTATGCTGTGGTACATGTATCTACACAACACACACACACACACAATTGCATTGGGGGGGCAGAGGCAGGTAGATATCCGAGTTGGAGGCCACCCTAATCTACATAGTGAGTTCCAGGCTAGCCAAGGTTACATAGTAAGCCCTGTCTCAAAACAACAAAAATCCCTCAATACCTTTTGTTGCTTTCTACTTTTTTTTGTAAGTCTCAACTGTTTACTATTAAAGAATTTGTCTATGACATTTCTGACACCCAGGCTTAGGGCTTAAAATGATAGTAACCCCCTTACTAACACTAGGCCTCAGGAATTTAGGCCATGCCCAAAAAGGTCTGGAAGCTCCTCCCATTGGCCCAGAGCCTTCTGTAAACAGGGAACCCAGTCAGGTAACTGGTGAGGCTTCCAGGCAGGGTAATGTAGCACTGCAGGAAGGCAGGCCCACTGGTGACAGGTCAGGGGGCTCTTCCCCTGGTGTTAGAAACTAGTAAGCTGCCAGCTCCTTTTGGGGAACAGTGTCAGAACTGCCTTTGTGTCATTCAGAACTGCCTTGTGTACTCCCCACTCTGCTCCAGCTCTGCTGACCTGGGCATTATTCTGATTTCACACTCAGCCCTTTCCTTCTCCACCTGCTGCTACCCTGAGACTAGAGGATGCCTTAATGTAGAACCTCAGCAGAAAATACCCCTCTCCAGTGATCTGGAGCCAGGGTCCAGGGGTGCTATATTCTCTACCCCAGGCCTCTTCCGAGCCCCACTGAGCCAAGACCATGGTGCCTCCAGCCAAGCCTGGAGCATGGGAGATGCACAAAGGGCTGCCCTGGACAGGAGACAACCAGCCCATCACAGGGTTGGAAGGAGATGGAAGAGAAGACAAGTGGAAAGATAGGTTTGGGTTGCCTTCCAGGCTACTGTCTAGAGGGCATTTTCTAGGCTGGTCAGTGGTGGAAGCCATGAGTGAAGGAAACAGGTGTCAGGTCATGGTCAAGAACAAGCTGCTCTTTGGCATCTAGCCTGGTCCTACTCACCCTGAGGGGTAGATGGGCTCACTGTGGGGACAGGCTGACATCCCCCAGTAGACAGGACATAATACACAACACAGTAGTTACTCAGAGCCAAAGAGGAAGCCCAGTCCGCAGGTAAAAATTATACTTTTATTTGAGTCACCAGGAGAAAGATTCACTTGTGGTTCAAGTCAATGTTCAGAATCCTAACAGGCCAGAAAGAGCTGGTCCCCAGCATGAGGCCAGGAGGGAGGGGACCAAACAGATGAAGGAAAGACAACAGCCCTGTAAAAAAGAGTGGGTGGCTTCACACACACAGATGAAATGTTGGACAGAGGCGATTTTCACAGGGTCACTTCTGTTTTTTTTTTTAGTACCGGCTTTGTGGGGTGGTACTTTTCTCTCTTGTTTCCAGCTATTTAAAAAGGCCCAAAAGTGCATATGTGAAGGGAAAAAGGCAGAAATTAAGAAATTAAAAGTTTTCCCTGGAGGGAAGAGGGAAAGTGGTGTTGGGAGAATTCACATTTCTCACCATTGGGCTTTTTGCATTATAGGATTGGTCCACAAAAGTTAGGTTCACATTTTAGAGGAGGTGCCTTGTTTCCTGAGATTTGACTGCTCTTTTAGGGTGGACATTTCCAGAAAGAAACATGGACTCCAGCAACCCTGGGGCCCTCAGCACCAGTATAACCCCTCCTCTCTCTGGGGGTATGAGAAAGTGCCCCCTATTTTTAGGATAGGAATAGAGTGGCTGATTTGACATGTTGGGAAGGGCGGGCCAGCCAAATGGAACCAGGAGGCCTGCGATTCCTTCCCATCAATTCACCACCTCCGAAGCACTGGTCCTTATACAATGTGTGCCCCTGACCACATTGTGCTTTGAGAACAAGAAGAAACAGAATAGACTTTCACCTCCCCCGAGATGCTTCCACAAGGTCCTCCTGGGCTCCCTTGTTCCCACACTGCCCAAGAGGACACTCCTCCTGCCCTCACCAGGCTGGGATCAAAAGTAAAGAAGACAGGTCAGGCAGAGGCTCCTGACACTGTCACTCCCTCAGACTACTCTCTAGCCATCTAATAAGCCCTTGCAAGTTGCCTGTGACCACTGCGGTCATTGCTGACCTGGCCAATGCTTTGAGGTGTGACCCTCATCTGCAGGGTCTAAGTGTGTAAAGGGACCAGATGCTGGACTCAGGAAAGGCAGGTGTTGGATCCAGTGAGGGTGACAAGAAAACCCAGAGATGAATGAAGTTGCATGAGGGCTATCCCAGGCCCCAAGAGCAAAAGGAGGAACCTGAGTTTAGCACCAGCCTGGAGTTGGTGCTGCCAGTTTCAGAGCCCTGGGTACTCTCTTCCTCCAGGGAGAGGGAGAGCCCACGTGAGGAGCCACAGTGTGAGTGACAGGTCCTTCTGGTACCCTACTCTGTAGCCCCAGACACAAATGGAAAGCAGGTCTAACCCAGAAGTCTTCCCCCACCTCCTCAGGGAGCAACTCACCAAACAGCCCCCCTTGCAAAAAGATGTGGGCCTTCTGTGTGTCCAGGAGCAGACTGTGAGAGCCTTTCTGTCTCTCTTCTCTCCTCTCTCTTTCGCGCTCTCTCCACACACACACACACACATATTACACACATGCCCAGAGACACCAGTAGACACACACCTGCCTACCTGTCCCTTCCACTCACCCTCACACAGAGAGGCTGCTGGTTTTGCTCACTCCAAGGTCATCTTGCCTTGGGCAGGGGAGGGAAAGTCAGAGGCCCAGAGACCTCTTCCCAGAGGAGCAGGAAGAAACAATCCAGCTAACTCAGATTCCAGAGGCATCCTTGCCCTACTCCTCCAAGCAGGATTCCAGCCAGAGATAAGAAAGTCCTTGGAGGCTGGGGGTGGCGGGGTGGGCAGGGAAGCAAAAGAGCCCCAAGGAGAACACCCTTCCTACTCTGTCCCTAGAACTAAGCTGTGCTTCCTGGGGAGCTCTTTGCCCACCCTAGATCTGTGTGGGCAGGAGGCATGTGAGTGAAGGAATGCAGGCAGGGGCAGGAATTCAGCCCAAAGCACTCTGCTCTCCTTTGGGCACCTTGAGGAGGCAGCAGGTTAGGAGCTCCCTTGGTGGACTAGCAGAAAGAGGTAAATTCATCACATTGGTCCCTATACAACAGAGCCCCCATATCCACCCCTGGGGAATGTGTGGAGCCCTGCATGGGGGTCTGGGGCTTACCCCAGTCCTCACATGTGTGGGTGTTGGGAAAGCTGGGCAGGAGGTTCTGAAGGGCCTCAGACAGGCAAGAGAAACTGGGAGCTAAGGGATCTCACTACTGGGTTTCCCATTTCAGTCCAGCCCTATGATCCCACCCTCCTCAGAGCAATCCTGGCCTCCCCAGAGTGCCCAGCCTGTTCCATCCAGAGAGAGAACCAAGAAGTCAGTCAAAGGAAAAACCTGCCAGAGGAAGGAGCCGAGAAAGTGGTAGAACAAGGCTTCGGTTGGCAAAAGAAGCTGGAGGAGGGATGGGGGTAAGGAAGCAGTTGCAGATCTTAAAAAACAGAGACACTGAAGGGTGGACGGGTCAGGCCCCAGGACAGATGTGATGCCATGGAATGCACTGAAGACGAGGGTAGGATAGCACACAGCTCAGATGGCCTCCACGTAATTAGCTGGCAGCATCCCTGTGTCGCCGGTGCGCTCCACGGTCCCATACATCCAGCCATCGTCGATCTGCTGCACGTTGACAATGGTGTCCCCATCCTGGAAGGAGACCTCGTCCTCATCAGCAGCACTGTAGTCATACACAGCACGGTACCGTTTCTGAGGGGCACAGTCAGTAGTCAGCCAGGGCCTTGGATGCTGGCTCTCCCACACCCAGACCAGCACCTGTGCCAGCAAACACTCCACCAAGCGACCTCCCAGACCACTGTGTTTCTATCTGTTGTGGAGCCCAGAGCAGGGTTTAGGGGATAATGAACCAAACGATGGGACCTGAGATGGGTTTCCTGTGAATTCTCTTGCACCTATTTCTCATTTTGGAAATGTATTCACACTTTTCCAATGTATTTGGCATCTACAAAGGGCCAGGTACAGGACAGGCTGCAGAGACACTCACCTTGTCTGTCCCTACAGGGAAGCAGTAAGATCTCACGGGCATGATGCCCAGATAGTAACTTAAAATTTAATATGCCAAACCAGCACACAATAGGCTGAGATAGGAGGATCCTGAGTTCAAGGCCAACCTGGACTACATAGTTGTCTCTAAAAACCCAGGTATGCTCAGGCCCAGGGCTCAATTCTCAACACTGCAAAACACAAAAACAAAAAAGGGACATGGCCTATTCAGTATTATTTGGAGGGTTATCAGCACCAGTGTTTTCTTTTTGAAACTATTATTAGGCTGACTTCAGACCCAAGTTGAGGACAAAAGCCATCTGTAAGATGCCACCTTCCAAACCTATGACAGAATGTCATTAAGTACACATGACATGTTCCAGTTGTGGGCAGCCACCTTACTTCCTCTGACACTTACTGCCCTTGACATTGATCTTCCCAGGGTCTCCACATTGAAGAATAGGACACTGCAATATTAAAGATCATACTCCGTACAAAATGAGCTGGTCTCTATACTTTTACTCTGCCCTACCTTGGGCTGAGTTGCCACTGCCACGTAGGGCTGCATTCTACAACTGACTCCTAAATGTGCCCCATTCCCCTGAGGCTTCAACTGTAGCATCTCCCACATGGGCACCAGGGTGATCTTTTCCTTTTTTCAAAGTTTGAAGTCGCTGGGCATGGTGGCTCAGGCCTTTAATCCCAGCACTCCAGAGGCAGAGGCTGGAAGATCTCTGTGAGTCCAAGGCCAGCCTGGTCTACATAGCAAGTTCCAGGCCAACTTCAGCTACAGGAAAACCCTTTTCAAAAAGATCAAAGAAGGGCATGGTACTGAGGCTAGCTAGCACCCCAAGGCCCTGTGCTTATTAGGTAAGTGGCAGTGAGACAGTCTCTCACTCATCTGTACATAGCTCAACAATTAGACTAGACTGGTTGGCCAGCACCACACCCAGCATTTTTACATGGGCTCTGGGAATTGAACTCAGGCTCTCAAGTTCATGTGGCAGTCACTTTACCAACTGAACCATCCCCTAGCCCTTAGTGGCAGTCACTTTACCAACTGAGCCATTCCCTAGCCCTTAGGCTTTATCTTTTACTTTATTTATTGTTTTTGTCCTTTTTTTTTTTTGTCTTTTTGAGACAGGGTCTCCCTGTAGCCCCAGCTGTCCTGGAACTCACTATGTAGACCAGGCTGGCCTTGAACTCACAGAGATCCGCCTGCCTCTGCCTCCCG